CACCTAATGCACATTGTAATGATAATAGTTTAAATTTCTCGCATGTTCGTTATTTTCTCATTCAACCGGTTCATCACTATAGATTGCAATGACATATTGATCTCTTACTTCTCCCGCATTCTCTTTCACCACTTAGCTTGGTTGGCCTTTACAAACAAACTTAATTTCTAGGTATGATAACCATGACCATTTGAAATTAGGAAAATGACTTAAATATGGCTAAAAATATTTGAAAAATCTAAAGTAGAATTGCCATGTGTTTTATTCCCTAAATAAGAGTAATTACTCCGATATTTTGACAGTACTAAACTCTAAACATGCAGTATTTTTCAAACTTAGCAATAATTACTCCTACTTAGGGAGTAAAAAGATAAAAATCATATTTTAGAATTTTGAAGCGATTTTACTCTTATTTCAGGAATTTGCCCTTGAAAATGGTGTGTTTCTCATGTGTGCTACTATGTGTTGTAGTATTTCACCAACGCATTTCTTCCTTGCAAAGTTGCAAGGTAACTTGGATCTAGCTCTTGAGACTGTGAACTATAAAATGACACCAATAAGATAATGCATGAATATATGCACATTCCTATTCACTATGACATATTGGAGACCATTTTCTATTGAAACGTGGTGTATAAGGTGTTTGCGAGGCTACTTGCAAATCTAATGATGTACCTAATAAATTGGAGGGACGACGTCACTCTATGAGTTGTGTTGTCAATTTACATCACTAAAAATTAATTTTCTTATATATATGCATATATAATTTTCCAAAACTTTAAAATTGACACCACCGAAGAAAAAGAAATTATATATATGTATATGCAAAAAATTATACTCCGTAATTGACACCATTGACACTAAATTTTGGCTCTGTCCTTGATAAATTGTCTAATTCACAGCATTTGAGTGACTTCAAACTCGAGGGCTTATCATTAAGAATATTTGTCACATCATTTGAAGTACATCTTGTTTACAGATGAAAGTAGTGAGTTGTGGTGCTTAAGTTGAACATGAACAAGTTCTATAATCAAGTAGTGAGGGCCTTTTTGTCTGGCAGTTTGAGAAGGTTAGGTTATAGGGAGTGAAGGGCAATCTTGTTAATGGAGTGTGTACAATAAGTAATGTATTACCTCCGTCCCGGAGTTATCTCCTTATTTGACTGGACACAAGTTTAATGATAGTGGGAAATATGTGGTAGAGAGTTGCGCAGAAAAAAGAAAATGTGTAAGAATGTGTAAGAATGGTTATGAACCACAAATTCTTTACTAAAAAGGAAAGAAGAGATAAATTTGGGACGTACCAAAAAAGAAATTATGAAGATAATTCCGAGACGGAGGGAGTACTTGATTCCTTTGATCCTTTCCATGGCACTAAGCTCTCCCGAAAACAATATGCAGGCATGGAGTAGATATTGAGGTCATTTTCAAAAATGTAGTACAATGATGTTCAATGGATATACGATGCACTGGTGAAAATATTGTCTGAAAAGTTTTTATACACCAAAGATTAGTTGATATATTTTTGGACGTTCTCATCCTTTTTCACCATTTCAATATTACTTTTTGAAGCTTAGATCCAATGCATTCAGGGTCATGAGAAAAGACCAACAAATAAGAAACCTAGAGCAAGAGGGACCTTTTATCTTACCTTTTGCTTGCTTATATCCCTAAATTGAAATTTACAGGATGAAAAGAAATTGAAATAAAAAAAGAAAATGAAGAATGAAAATAAATTGGTATAGATTATGAAGGGACTAGGCAGGGAAATGAGGAATGAAATGAAATTAGAGAAAGAGCGGTGAAAAGAAAAAGAAGAAAATGAAAAAGCCACATGGATAAATGTGTTGACTTAATTTTTAAATGACATGTACTACAAATTGAGTAAACACTACTCTTGTTGTACACATCTTATATCCACTTTTATATCCACCTACGTGAAAGACTTTTTATTATCTATAAAGCACGGCCTGTCCACAAAGAAAATGTGTCTTATTTTGTCTGTGTAAATTTGCAGACAAAATTAGACACATTTTGATTGTGAACGAAACTCACAGACAAAAAGGTTTTTCAGAGACATGGTGGGTATAAAAGACAATATATGGATGGGTACAAATATCTTTTTTGTTGAGTAAATGGCTCTCATTTACGAGTAGATGAATCTATATTACTCCGTACAATTTTTCATGTAATTTGGGTGCCTTTTATACTAGTATTTTTTCTGATTAGTACAAACAAGCACTAAGTCCATCTCCAACAGTTTGCACTATTTTGTACACTAAAATGGTGTAAAACATCACATCATACAGTATTTTATATCCAACTGTTTACATCATTTTCATCACCAAAAAGGAAGATTCCCTTTTTTATTCTTTTTACTAACTTTTTAACATTCTTCTATTTAAGTATCTAATTATCATATATTTATACATTAGCCCCTCATTTAATATTTTGACATTTCACACATTATTTCACACATACAAACTAAAATACACCATTTTAATACAATGATTTTTGGTCAAGAGTTGAGGCTAAGTACAATGAACAGCGTCAACAAAATCACGAGCAACGTAATAAACGTTCACTGCATTCAAGAATGGATACAGTAAGTACTCAGGCACGGAAGCTAAATGGGTGTGTGAAGCAAGTGGAGAATTTAAATCCAAGTGGTGCTTCCGGAAAAGTTATTGTAAGTATAATATAATTTTAATTTTCAATAATATATTTACTTTTATGTAATACAAATTTATTTTTATGATTTACAGCTGGATCTTGCTGAAGTTTTATTTATGCAAGATCCAAAATATTCTAAAGGTTTTAAATTTGATCATGTTCGGGATATGCTTAAAAATTTTGAAAAATTTAAAGATAATGTATCAACTGCAAGACATGCTGCTCCAAAAAAAGGAAAGTTGATTACGACTCTTCCCAATCAGACTCTCATCCACCATCTCCAATTTCCTCATCACCTGGATTGTCATCTTCGTTCAATAAAGAAGTTGATACTGATTTCGGATCAGATTTTTCAAAACGACCAATAGGGATAAAAAAAGCCAAATTGAAGAAGAAAAACGATGAAGACAATACTGTCTTGCTTAAGTCAGTTAAGAGCGACAATGAGCAACTTATAGAGATGTTGAAGAAATCGTCATTAGATCGACAAGAACAATTGCAAATCCAATGATAAAATATGGCATACAAAGAACAGAAAAGAGAAGATAAAATTATGTTCATGGATTTGAATTTTATTCATGATCCACAAACGCGAGCGTATATCATTGCAGAAAGATCAAGAATTTTACAAAAAAAAAAATCTCAAGGAGGATCATCAGATGGATTTGGGAATCTATTTGATGGTCTTGGAGGGTCTGGAAGCGGGTTGAATGACTACTAATTTCTAAATTAGTATGTACTATGTATGTTTTTAATTATGTTTTGATTTTAATTATAACGGTGTTATTAATTGTACTTTTAATTATGTAATTTTCTTAAGTATCATTTGTATTTTGTTATTATGTTATTTGGATTTGAAACTTTATTTATAATATTGTGTGATTTAAATTTTATTATATTTTTTTATTTTCTATCAAATTAATAATTTTAATTACTTGTTCTATAATGATGTTTTTACTTGGACTACAATTTGTCCTAGATCAGATCAGACCGGATTAGACCAAACTTGGGTAGTTATAAAAATACAAAGAAATCAGACCTGACCACATCAGTTCAGACCAGACCAGACCAAATCATACCAGACCAGAGCATACAAGCAAATTTCAGTCCAAGTAAAAACATCCTAATTTGTTGTTTTAAAAATGGGTCAAAACTATAACAATCAAAACTTTGGGTCACTTTTGAAATAAAAAAAAATAAAAAAAGAGGAGGGTGTGGGATTTGGTGTACGTCATATATGGCGTAAAGTCTACCACCAAAATGGTGTAATGGTGTAAGATATGGTGTGACTGTTGGAGCATTTTTTTTTGGCAAATCCACCATTTTGGTGTGGGATTTGATGTTTGTTGGAGTTGTTCTCAGTCATAAACCCTAAACTCTTAAGTTGAAGTGAGATAACTCTCACTTGTCACAAAAAAAGGATGGACTGATACCACTTGATTCTCACATACGGAGAATAAGTTACTCCCTTTGTGAGAGTTATTAAGTTCGAGTCATCGAAATCAACAAATCAATGTGAGAGTTTGAAGAATTGAAGTTGCCGGGAAACTCAACATGTTAATAAATTAGTGCTTGCTCATGAGATGTTTGATCGGTCACTGGTTGTTCCTTGTGAACTTAGATTAAGAGCCCGTTTGGTAGCATGAAAATCGGCTGTTTTGGCTGATTCTGCTGAAATTTATGAAGTTCTGGCTGAAGTGGCTGTTTTGGCTGATTCTGCTGATTCAAGAAAAAAATATTTTAAAAATATATTTTATTAATAAATTAAAGAAAAAATTACATGTAAAAATAGATAAAATGGTCCTCTGCAGTAACTTCAGCCAATACAGCCAGAAAAGTAACTCCAACCTTACTTTTTCTGCTTATTACACAATTCAGCACACGAAAGTAAAAGTTACGTGTTTGGTGAAAAAGCTGGCTGATAAGCCTGATAAGCCGAAAAAAGAGGTCTCCAAACGGGCTCTACATTAAGTGCTCGTTTGGTAATACCCAAATTGGCTGTATTGGCCGATTCTGTTGAAATTTATGAGATTCTGGCTAAAGTGACTAGATTGGCTGATTTTGCTGATTTATGAAAACATTATATTTAAAATATATTTCATTAATTAAATAAAGAAAAAATTATATGAAATGATAGCTAAAATGATCATTTACAGTAAATTCAGCCAATACAGCCAGAAAAGTAATTTCAACTTTACTTTTTCTTATTATTATACAATTCAGCGCGTGAAATCAAATATTAAGTGTTTGGTGAAAAAGTTGGTCGATAAACCCAATAACCGAAAAACAAGCAACCAAACGGACACTAAGAATCAAGATGAAAAGCATGGCTGATTTAAAGATTTCAATGTTTAGAAAATCAAAGTTGGTATATAAAATCTGATTTGTAAGGTTACCAAGCAAGGGAAACAAAATGGGTGGGCATAAAGTTGCCAATCCGACAGTCTTGTACTAATGTCTACAATTGTGGATCAACAACCAATGGTGGCAGATCTTGGAGGACCGCATCTCGGGGCGCCGTCTTCCTCGTCCGCCCGTCCGTTGCCGCAGGGCACCTTTGCTGCACGGCAGAAGGTCTCAATCGTACCTAATGGAAGTCCTCCTATCAATTTCCTGCTTTCCATCTCAGTTTATACGGAGTACATTTCATACCGTACTCGAGGAGGTCTGCTCGGCCTAGAAGCAGATTCCAAGTTCAGCTATGTCTTTGCCACGGGCCCACAACGACATCAGTTATTTCTCCTCAAACATTATCTTAATTACCTAGAATTTCGCTGTGAGACATACACTCAATTACAGAGTCTCTAACTTTTAATTTTAAAAGTAAAATTATGGGACAATAGCAAGAGCCAACAACGTTAACCGTGAGTATGTTTGGAAAGTTGGGAGAGGAACCTATAAGTTTGGGAATAATCTTGCGTGGTGGAAAAAAGTTTTGAAATTTCAAAATAGGATTATCATGTTTTTTATTCTTTGAATAGAAGTAATTTTTTGCCAAGTTTTACATTACTAGGCTTTAAAACATGACATTTTTTCCTAAACTTGACAGATTACTCCTATTCAGGGAATAAAAAACATGATACTCCTATTTTGGAATTTCAAAACGTTTTTGCTCCTATTTTTAGCTCCTATTTAGCATAACAAAGTTTTGTTAGAATGAAATGTTATGTCTTTTGATCATGATCCAAACTTTACTACATGCCAAAGTTTTTTGGGATGGAGGTAGCACTTTTTATTATCAAAATGAAATGTTAAAATAATAAATGTTATATTCCAACTTTCCCTTATTAATTTTACTATCTTTCCCTTTTTTATTATTTAAAAAACATTGTCAATTTCCACTATTAATCAATGAAGTTTTTATTTCTATTTTTTGGACAAATTTCTTTTCAGATTTTTATTAAGAATTAATTAATTAATTAATGCCTGCAAAAACATTAAGAAATAATTAATGACTAAGATAATATAATTTACAAAAATATGATCTCATAATTATAGTAACTTAGATATTATAATTTAGAAAAAAGACATGTATATTACTAACAAAGTTTTCAAGGACAAAAGTATGACTAGACATGTTTTTTTTATAAAAATGTAACTAGTTATTGTGTACGAACAACTAGACAAGAGTCACTATAATATATTTCAGAATGACAAGTTACCGGTAGATGACGAGTCACTGAGAATTAGTCACTAAATATGTCCCTTTTTGGAAAACTTTACAATAAATCATATTTTTGTCTTTTGAATTTAATTTAGTACGTAACATTACATTTGTCCCATTCAACTTTACCAAATTTATGTTGAATGGAAAATTAGAAAAGTTAAAACTATGTAGTTGAGATTTGTTTAAGGTAGAGAGAACCACAAATTCAATGTTTTAAAAAGAAAATGACAAAATTTTTGGGACAACTAATAAAGGAAAAGTTGCTAAAATTGAGTAGGATAGAGGAAGTAATATTCATGAAAAAAGACACATAATTAATGAATAAATTATTACATTTAAATGTATGACATTATATTTGGGAAAAGGTGCATATAAGCCCTCGAACTAACCGAAAAAGTGCAAATCACCCCTTTTATAGGAGGCTCTGTCTGGCCATCGCCATTTCGGGCGGTTACCGGTGGAATTTTTTTGAGCATCTTCTTCATTAAGTCTAGTTTACCCTTAACCAAATTCAGGTAAAAAATCAACCGGAAAGGCAGTTAAATGATTTTATGAAATATATTGCGTTGTTTAACTGCGCAGTTATCTTCAAACATTTATTTGACTGCCTTCACAATTGAATTTTTAGCTTAAATGTGGTATGGATAAACTAGACTTAATGAATAAGATGCTCAAAAAATTTCATCAGAATGGCGACGGCCGGACAGAGCCTCCTATAAAAGGGGTGATTTGCACTTTTTGGTTAGTTCGAGGGCTTATATGTCTCTTTTCCCATTATACTAGCTTTCAAGCCCGTGCGATGCACACGCAGTATGTAATTTAGCCAATTTGAAATTTAATTTCCATCGGATCACATATAATGTGATTTAAAAGAAAAATAAACTTAGTCTAATATAGAGTCTGTTTGATAATACTAAAGTAAATAGAATTAACTTATTTTGCTAAAATTGATTGAATTCTGGTTAAATAGGCGAAATCTTCTGAATCATGAAAAATATATGTGAAATATATTCCATTCGTGAAACAAAGAAAAAAATATATGAAAAATAGTTAAATTGGTCTTCTACTTAAGCATCTCAAGTAAACATAATTGTTATGAACCCAATAATAAAAAAATTCTATATTTGTTAATTGTTAGATCTTAGAGTTTACTCATTAATAAAAATGTTTTTAATTGAATTAAAATTTCAGGTTTGATTTGGTATGAATTAATATGGTCTATTAGATGTCTGTTTTTTATGTGACTTATTGTTATAATTATTAAAGTTTGATCTGATCTGATTTAATCTGGAATTGAAATCAATCCAATTAAAAACATTCTATTAAAATAAAAGTAGGAATTCGTAAACCTATAAAGTTTTTCTAATTTGGAGTAGGAATCTATTTCAAAAGTGAAGACATATTTGAATTTTAGGTGTAAAATAAAGAAACAACCAAAAAAAATTACTTATTTGGCTAAGATAAACATATTTACTTGTGAAAATATATATACTTTATGTTGGTTATAATTTTTAATTTCATTTTTAATTATTTACTTATTTGAAGCTTACTAATTTATTAATAGGTGTCCAATTAGTAATTTGCATATTTGTTTCTATTTAATTCGGTATAGTAAACTAATATAAATTAGTTTCCATATCAATAAACATTATTAGAATTTCACTTTGATAACAAAAAATCATTTTGTATACCATGCGACCGTCCCACGGTGCGCATGGTATTCCATCCCAGGGTGCGCATGTATTTCATCCCAAATTGTAGTGGGCCTAGTTATTTTTTATTTCTCTTTTTCTTGAAAATGATAATAATTTTTTATTTTTTATCCGATTTTTATAAAATTTATATCAAATTTGTTTATTTTTCATGATCTTTCAAATGAGACCGATATTGCCTATGTAATTTTAACATATTATCAAACTACTATATTAACCATTATTAATATGTAATAATATGTAACATTATGTGCAAAAATATGTAACTTGGGTTCACTGAAGCCAAATGCAACTCGTGTGTATAAATATGTAACTCTACGTGTAAAAATATGTAACTTTACGTGCAAAAAATGTAACTCGCGTTCAGACAGGTCAAATGCAACTCGTGTGTATAAATATGTAACATTACATCTTACATGTCAAAACATGTAACTTTACGTGTAAAAATATGTAACTCGCGTTCAGGCGGGTCAAATGCCACTCGTGTGTATAAATATGTAACTTTACATGTAAAAATATGTAACTTTACGTATAAAAATATGTAACTCACATGTATAAATACATAATACAATAAATTTTTTATATACACAATTTTAAGATACAATTTATGTATTAAATTTAGTTCGGTTTCCCTTATAATCCAATAATCATTTATATAATAGTTCGATAATTTGTTAAAATTACATAAGCAATATTGGTCTCATTTGATAGATCATGAAAAATAACAAAATTTAATATAAAATTTATAAAAATCGGATATGAAATAAAAAAAGTTATTACAATTTTTAACAACAAAAGGAATAAAAAATAAAGAAGTCCGTTACGGTGCTTGCCAAAAACAAAGATCGGTATACAATGCTTATCGTATACCGGTCATACAGTATAATTTGCCACAAAAAATTATTTTACTCATTTGAAGCTTACCAAATTAATTAAGGTGGATTTATAAGGATTTTTGTTTCCATATCAATATTCAATCAAAAATAGAATCTAATAAAAACAAAAGGTATAAAAATAAGTAAATAATTATTATATATAATGACATGACAAGATTATGTGGCGTTTTGTATGCTCTTAAAAAGTTCCTCTTTTATATCGGTTGGTATACCGTGGGAGCAGCCCACGGTGAGCATGCAGCTCCCACAAAAAAACGTGTTACTGTTCACGCACGTGAACAGTAACTTCTTTTTTGTTTTTTCATTGTCCCAATAGCGGAATAGGTGTAACTCGCGTGTAATAAAATGTAACTCACCTTGATAAGAAATGTAAAAGCAAGCAAGTCAAAATGTAACTTGTCTAATACGAATGATAAGAAATAAAACATTGATTTTAATGAAAACAAGGAGTCTAATTGCTCAATTACTTTACTTAAATAGTTTATATGTTTTGTTTTTAATATTAAGGACATAATTTTTATCATTTTTTGGGCCAAAAACTCATTTTGTTTTTGAAAAAAAAAAGAATTTTTTTATTCAATAGCAGGGGTTAACATAAATGGTGAATATATATTTTTTTAATATTAAGTCCATAAAAATGTTTTTAAAAATATATTTTTTACCAAAACACATTTTTTTTGGAAAACAATTTTTTTGGAAAGCAATGATTCTTTTGTTTCAATTAGGCTTTATGTTGTGATGTAATTAGTATTACAGAAAATGTAACCCGCGTTGATTGAAAATCTAACTTTAGTGTATGCAAAATGTATCTTGTTGAGGCAAACTCAAATTTAACTCGCGTATAGAAAGATGTAACTCACGCACAAGAAGATGTAAATCGTGCATAAAAAGATGTAACTCCATATAATATCAAATGTAATTATAGAAATTGTCTATAAACATAACTCACACATACGAAAAATGCATTATTCTCATGTTTTTTCAAATTTAAATCAAAATAAACAACCTTAATGACTATAAAACACAAAAAACATATAAAAGAGATAAGAAATATATTATAGAAAAAAGTATATGAATATAAAAAACATTTTACAAAAAAGTGTATAATAAATATAAAAAAAAGTATACAAAGTAAGAAATAGTGTATGAATATGAAATACAATATACTTATTTTATGTGGATTAATAAAATTTTGTATTAAATTGCTAAAGAAAAAAATTAATTCGGTTATAATTGAATTAGTTCAGGATAAATATAAGTAAAAATCACAAATAATTAGATATAACTCACACATAAATACATGTAACTCGCGCATAAAAATATGTAACTTGTGTATAAGAACATGTAACTCACACATAACAAGATGTAACTCACGCATAATAACTTGTAACTGGAGTATAAGATGTTGTAACTTCGTATATTATCAAATGTAACTCCAAGCTAGAAGCAAAATAAACAAACCCAATATCTTAAAAACATCTAAAAACATATAAAAGTGATAAAAAATAAATAATAGAAAAAGTGTATGCATATAAAAATATATTACAAAAAAATGTATGAATGCAAAAAAGATATT